CCAAAATGTCTTTGATTCAAAGAAAAAGGTGAAGCTGACCAATGCAGAAGGTGTTGAGCATAAACTCTCCAAGAAGCAGCTCCAGGCAATTGAATTCAACAAAGCTTTGCTTGCAATGTACACAAACCAGGTAGGGGAAAACTGATCTGCAGTAAGTAGCTATGGATTAAATCCACAGGAGTTTGACTGGGCAAAAATGGAGATGCAGCTGTTCTATTTCAGAAGATAGGACCACTTGGTTTAGGCACATAAGTGAGCAGAAAAATAAAATCATCCCTAAAAGCACAACTGTCTATTTAGTGATTTGGGTATTGCTGTAGCCAATAGGAGGATGTTGTGGAGATAGCTAGAAGACAAAAAGGGATGTGGGGGTTCTTAGATGTATCTGAAGGGCCACTAAGAGGACTTCTTGGTTCTGTGTACTCATTTCAGGGCAGTCACCACTAGTATCTCTTCTTAGGTACTGTTGGTTTCTTAGCCCTGAGTAAGGTGCTCGCAGAGGTTGAGAAAAGTGTGTTCCCTCTTTCCATTCCAGGCAGATCAGTGCCGCAAGCTGTCAGCAAGCCTGCAGTCCCAGAGCCCTGAGCATCTGCTCCCTGTGCTTATCCAGGCAGCCCAGCTGTGTCGTGAGAAGCAGCATGCAAAGGCTGTAGGGCTTCTGCAGGTAGGTTAAGAGCAAGTTGGCCAAGCACCATTTAAACTAGTGCTTTGTGTTTTCCTGTGCTGTTTTCCCTTAGTTTGTTTTGTTTGGTTTAAATTTCCAGGGGTATCTGACTACTTATTTTGGTTTGTTTAATGCTGCTGGAAAGCCTTCAATTGAACAATTCTGCTTTTAAAGGGAAATAGTTCCCTTACACCTCTGATTTTTATGCTTATGAAGCTGTAGTAGACTTCTAGGGTAAGCAGTAGGCTTTGCTGCTCTGCTTACAAGCAGTTTGTAACACCCTTCTTTGGAATGATTGAGTGGCCTGGGACAGAAATGTGAAAGGGCACACCTGGGGGTCCTTCTCTGCCGTGTGCTGAAATCTGCCTGTGCTGGAAAGCTTTCTTTGGCTCTTGCCAGCTTGCTGTGAGTGAGCATGACATATGATTCACCAAAGCAGCAGCCTGGTGCCCACACACAAGCTGAATTGTTCTTTCTTCTGACTCTCAGGACTTTGCAGACCAGCACCCTGCCAATGCGGCTGAGATCAAGCTGACGATGGCCCAGCTAAAAATTGCTCAAGGTATCTAGTGTCCTCCTTTGTTGGGAAGTGTCTGCACATGACAAGGGTACAAGGGGTAAGAAAACGAGCCTTCAGGGCAATCTTTGCTGCAGTCACTGTTGTGACAGGGGTGCAGAGCAGAGATACTTTCAGTCAGGTAATACATATATTTAGCTATGGCAGGATAATACTGATAGCTAATGTCTGGATACACAGGCTCCACAGATTGCTGGCAGAAATGCCCACAGTCTCTGTGAAATGCTGAATCTCTTCTGGGGTGGGATAATTTTGGGAGCAGTGTCAGGCTCCATAATGGTACCATTCCTTTATGCAGCCAGGCAGCACAGACTTGAGCCTGAAGAGAACTCCCTGGTAGCCAAAGCTTGCTCCTGAACCCTTGCAGGATGTGACAAATGCAGAAAGGTCCATTGTGTGGAGGCCTGTCATTAACTCCTGCAATGAGGGAGATGTTGTGGGGGAGATGTGAGAAGGGGAATTGTTCTGTCCCCATTGTTTACCTTTGGCTCGAAGTTCACTGGTGTGATCAGGTGTTGTGATGCCATTCAGAGTGTGTTCTTCCTTGTCTCTCTTCTAGGCAGTGTCACCAAAGCCTGCATGATCCTGAGGAGCATAGAAGAACTGCAGCACAAGCCTGGTATGGTAAGCAAAACTCCGTCTGAACTGTGTAAGGTTTTTCCCTTGTAGGAGAGCTTTGCACCGCTTGCTCCTTTTTGCCTCTTCCCCGTGGTTGCCACTTGACTTGAGTGTCTGCAGGGATTCTGAGTCCATCTTCCTTGTCTTGGATAAAGGTGGTATTAGAACTTGCTAGAGGTAGCCTGAACGTAGTCACAGAAGTACTCTGCCTGTCAGAGGGATGCTCTCTGCCTATGTTCCCACTCCCTGGTAATCTCTCAGTCCTGCATGTTGCTTGGATTTACTTGCATAACATACTGGAGCAACTGCTGGTTGCTGGTAGGTACTGTTGGGACGTTTTAGAAGCAGCTTTAGGACAGCAGGCCTTAGGGGGAAAGAGCTGTGTTCCATCCTTGCAGCATCACCCTGATCTGCATGCTTATCCACACCTGCTGTTCAGAAAAGCTTGATGGCCTTGTAAGTGCTTACATGTTCAGCATAAGCATCTTGAACAGGGGCTGATAGTTGTGGATCTCTTTCAGTTGTAAGTGTGAATGATCAAAATAATTTATAGGGGCAGTTAAGAGTAACAGCTCCTTGCCCTGGGTCACCTGTACTTGTGACTGGAATGCCAGCAAATGGATGGTATCCTTATAATCTCTTCAGTGCTGATTTCTTTTTTCATAGCTTTTGGGGTAGAGAATGGGGGATGAAAAAAGTTTTCTAGTGAAACTGAGTCTCTGATAAGCAAATTATGTGCCAAGACAGGAAGGTTCCTTCTATGAATGCAATCTTAGGCTTGTACCATAGCAAAAAGATGTTGGGGATGTTCCTTTGGGAGTGACTTAGGTAGGAAGATGTGGCCTGGGTATCTTGCCTGTTACCACAGCTGTTTTTTAGGGACAGAGCAGAAAGCTCACACTGACTCTACTTTTGGGAAACCCATCGTTTAACTGCTGAGACTGTGGCTGTAGACAATTTGCATGAAGATGTGCTATTTACTGCTCTTGAATGTTTGCAGGTGTCTGCGTTGGTGACAATGTACAGTCATGAAGAGGATATTGACAGTGCAATTGAAGTCTTCACGCAGGCTATCCAGTGGTATCAGCAACACCAGGCAAGTCAGACCAGAGGAGCTAACGTGCAGGAATCTGTCCTGGATTTTCTAGCCAGTCCAATTGAACTTTTCCTGTTGATGCATAGCCTCAGCAGTTATCCAGTTGGGGATTTGGAGACATGTGAGCTCCTGTTTTGTGAACATTTATCAATAATGTATTATTTTATATGTGTTACAAATAGGGAGCAGCAGCTCCTCTCAGATTAGGAGGGTAGCATCAATGGATGCATAAATGTAGCAATCTGGACTTCTCCCTGATGGGAAAATATGGTGGAGCAGCAAGCTGCCTTGTCCCATGCAGTTCTGCCTCACTTCCCAGAGGGAAAAGGTGGTCTGGTTTCTGCATGACAGGATGTTAACTCAGTTCTCCTTGCCCAAGCCTCAGGTGCATTAAAGCCAGCTAGAGCTGGGCTCCATGCTGTGATAATAAGGAACTAATCATGGCTGCTGTGTCTTTCAGCCAAAGTCTCCTGTCCATTTGTCACTGATAAGGGAAGCTGCCAACTTCAAACTAAAGCATGGCAGGAAGAAGGAAGCAATCAGCGACTTGGAGGAGCTCTGGAAGTGAGTTGGGTCAGCTGCTGAGCAGCTCAGACTGTGGCTGTAGACAATTTGCATGAAGCAAATGCTGAGCAGCAGGTCTCTACCCAGAGTCCTCTGCAAGCTGTCTGGTGGCAGGCAGTGTCTGACAATTTTGATTAACTAGTAGCTGTCATTGGTAGTTGCTTTTGCACAGCGGCTTCAGTGCAAGGCTGTATTTTGGAGGAAGGGGAGATAATTAATTTGATCTATAGTTGATGCTCACTTGAAAACCTGGTAGACTTATCCCAGAAGCCTCTTGTGTGCAGTGAACATTTCTCTGGGGACTGGAATGCAGTTTTTTCTAGTGCTACATAAACATGGATGTCTAGGTTTTAGTTTCTGTTGTACACTTAATGGAATCTTTTACTGGGGGGAGTATTAACTTGCCTTTGCTGCTGGGTTTTTCCCTCTTTTGTTGCTTGCTTCATGATACTGTGAAATTGTCTGTACTTCCCTTAATCCACACCCGTGATGTTTGGTGGTGTGCTCTGGAGGAGACCACATACTAACATGCCTGTCCCTGCAGATAGCAACTGTGTTGCAGTAGCAAGCACTGTGTGGTGTTACCAGTCTTGGAGATGAGTAACGTTGGTAACTTGGTCCTTTTCTGTTTTGGTTTTTTTTCCTCTAAAAAGGCAAAACCCAAAAGATGTGCATACTCTGGCACAGCTCATCTCTGCCTATTCCCTGGTTGACCCTGAAAAAGCTAAAATGTATCCTTTTAATGGTGGTGAAAGAGGTGTTTGGGTATTGCTTCCTTGGATTTTCAGCTGTGTGGGGACTTCAGACTTACCTGAAGAAAGGCAAGGAACCTCTCTGGAACAGCTACATATCCAGGTCAAGTTGTCTGGAACTATATTATTTCTCTAATTGGCTTCATTACTGTGATATCTCAGGACCCTTTTATCTTTGGCCTCCTCCTCTTTGAGAATTAATAAGACAAGGTGGAACCAAAAACAAGAGCACCTGCATCTTTTCTGTCAGAATCTTAAACCTGTGATAGTAATGCAGGACTGATGCAACATGGGTAAGCAAGAGCTTGGTTTACATACTGCTTTTGTCATCTGAGCCTCTTTCACTGGAAGTTGTTCCCTGTGTCCCTGTATTAAAGAGGGAAGAATGAGGCAGATGGTGATTAAGCAGCTCATCCCAACTTGTATAAGAAGCTAGTGAGAGAGATGGAAATAGCCCCATAGGCCTGTCTGGGGTCTGCGTTGTTAACAGACAGAATTTATTTAAGCTGAGGTTGCCTCTTGCTGTCTGGAAGAACATGGGTGTTTATGCTCGCTGGTTTGCATCCCTGAACTCTTCCCTTGCAGTCTTAGCAAACACTTGCCTTCCTCAGACACCATGTCACTGAAAGTAGATGTTGATGCACTGGAGAACTCCCATGGAGCAACCTACGTTCGGAAGAAAGCTGGGAAGCTCACTGGAGACAACCAGCAGAAGGAGCAAGGGTAAAGCAGGCTGCTATATTTTTTATTTAATTTTATTGCTATATCTCTGGTGCATCCTTCTTTGGGGTGGTTCAGAAATCACACCTGGTGTGGTGAAGGCATTGCTGTAGAAGGCCGGCTGATGGAAAGGGACACTGTTGTTTGACTGCAAGGAGCTTTATGTAGCAGCAGACCAAGTTCTTAGAGAGATGGGAATGGTTTAGCTTCTTCCAGAGCTAGTTTTTAGTTGACTTGTCTGCTCTGTCTCTGGTACGTCACAAAGTCTTGTTTTCCTTTCAGACAAGGGGAAGTAAAGAAAAAGAAGAAAAAAAAGAAGGGTAAGTTGTATTTCTTAGCTGTTGAAACAGCACACCTCCAGAGAGTTCTCCAGATTCTTTCTTCAAGTAGCCAGCCTCCAGGTCCCTAGGAGCTAGAGCCCTTTGCTAGGACTGTGTCTGGAAACCTGGATTTTCATAATAGCTTGTTTGGTTATGGCACTTTCCTCAGGAGTGAGAGCAACACCCTGATAGGGTGATGGGGTTGCTGGTCTGTTTGCGCTGCCATCCCATCGCTGCTGCCATCCCATGCATGTCCCTTGGTGATGTCTCTGGTGTGTTGACCCCAGTCTCATTTCCTGGCACTGGATGTTCTGCAGGAAAGCTGCCCAAGAATTATGACCCCAAGGTGACTCCCGACCCTGAGCGGTGGCTTCCAATGCGAGAGCGGTCCTACTACCGCGGACGGAAGAAGGGCAAGAAGAAGGATCAGGTTGGCAAGGGGACTCAGGGTTCAACCACAACTGGCTCCTCTGAACTGTAAGTACCCACTTTGCAAGGATTGATGGGGGATTCACTCCTGGGCAACTGGGAGGGCTGTGTTTGTGCTGCTCTGCTGCAGCTCTGTCACCACACTAACTGCGGGTAGCACAAGTGACATTGTATTTTGCTGCTTGAACCTGCTACCATCTGCTCTCCCTGGAGATCCCTATAGGTTCCTGAAAACTAGTGTGATAGGATAGGCATGCTTGAAGGAGCCAAGGTGTAAATAAAATTCTCATAGTCTTTTAATGTGCTTCTCCTTTGGCAGTGAGATTAATTTTGCATGCTTTCTCTTGAGCAATTTGCTTTCAAGTCTTTTGGCAGCTGCAGAACCATTAGCCATGATTTGAGAAAGCACTATACTTCCTTCTAAACTGACACTGATTATTTGAGCTGGAATCAAGAATTACCATTAAGTATGAAGCCTGACAGGAAGATGGTGTTTTACTAGCATCTGAGAGTAGGGATACTGGGTTTGCACTGCCTAGGAGAGGGATCTGAAAGGCTTCCTGTGTGTTGCATGAGCTGTCACATATCTATTCAAAAGTTATCCTTGCTTTCATTGTCAGTGATTTACACTATCTAGTGAACATCAGTTAGAAGTTGATTGCTGCCCTTCAAGACATATTCCCATCCTCTGCCAGCTCCTTCTTGAAGCCTCTCCTTGCATGAGTGCCCTCTCATACATAATGCTTGCTACCTAATGGGGCAGATGCTGCTTTTCACTGTCAGCTCCCTGCACTAGTACCACGTCTTGCAGGTGGTTGTGAACCCACACGGTGCCTTTTTCTCTTGCCTTCCTGCAGGGACGCCAGTAGAACTGCCAGCAGCCCACCTACCTCCCCTCGGCCTGGCAGCGGGGCAGCTGTATCGGCTACAAGTAACGTCATCCCTCCCAGGCACCAAAAACCCGCGGGTGCTCCAGCCACCAAGAAAAAACAGCAGCAGAAAAAGAAGAAAGGGTCTAAAGGAGGGTGGTAAAAAGTAGGATGTGTAACGTCCCTCCTTCAATACGTGATGCTGATTGCAGAATAAAGGTCAAAAGCAAGTGATGGCAAAAGACTCCTGGAATCTGGATCTCTGTGCTGCCTGTCAGTGGTCTGGGGGGAGATGGGCTGGTACAGATGCCGTGATCTCTCTGCTCACCAAGTTCCCTTCCTCACATTTGCCCCCACTGTGACTTAGGTTGTTGCCATCAAAGTCAAATATAGCCCCTAAGAAGAAATCTGTTTGTGTGTTGCCAGACCTTTAACAGATATGAGACAATCAAGAATTTCTTAAAATGTAGTTTCGTGCTCCTCTTGCATATGTCAGTTTAGGCCTTTAGCAGATTTATCGATGCATGATGCAAGCACTGTCTCTTATGTCAGTTAGTCATTGACCACCAAAGAGCGAAGGCACAAAGCATCTTAGAAACCAACATCTTGGCTTTCTAATACAGCATAAGATAAGCTGAAGGGGGATAACAAGACTGTTAGGAGAAAACATGGTGAAGTGAATGGCAGCAGATTCAATGTCCCACTTTCTGCAAGCCCAGCTGCCTTATTCTAAATGGCAAAACAAAAGTGACCGGAATGCGTGTGGTTGTCTGAGGTGCCCTTCCTCCTCCTTTGGCCTTGACCCTATGTTCCTACAAGTCTTGGGTGCTGGGTTTATGAAAATAAAGAGTGGTACAGCAGCAGGTCAGCTTAAGCTCAGTGACTCTGGAGAGGGACCCAGAACAAAGGAAATCCCCAAGAAATGATACCTTTGAGACTAAGTGCCTGTCCTGCATGCAGCTTGCATCAAGCCTCTTGGCCCAGTGGTTATTTCGGTCTGGATCTTTAACACCCTACTGAGGTGTTTCTCTGTGTCTGTGCAGGAAGGCTGTTGATGGTTCTTATGAAGCTGCAGCTTTGCTGACAGTTGTCTCCTTATCTTCTGAACCTGCTTGCTAGCAGCATGGGAACCAAAAAAAGCCCAGGAGTTAGGATAAACACATTTATCAACAATGAAAACAACAGTGTGCTATCAATATTTTTCCTGTACTAAAGACAAAACACAGCAATGTGCCAGCTACTAGGAAAATTATTAGGAAAACTAATTTCAGCTATGGAGGTGTAAGTTCATGGTTTGCAGCCCAAGGCTTCAGCAAATCCAGCTACTCATCCTGAGCAAGTAAAGCTAAGCAAACGGCATACTAAATTGTATATTATAACTATGTATCTCATTCTGCTGAAAACTTACTCATGCTAAACCAGTATCTTTCAACACAGGTTTTGAAAATTCTGGTTTGATCTGAATGTAGCCAAAACATTTTTCCAGACACGGACTGTCAGTGGGTGGAAATGTGCCTTGGAGAGGGTTGTCAGATGTCAGCCCAAAAGGCAAAAGCTTCTGTCTCTGAAACAATTTAAAGCAAAGGCTTTAAAAAGTAGGGACTAAGGGACATGTTACAGTGGCTTGAGAAAAAACAACTCCTGAGTCTCCCGGCAGTAAAAATCTACTCTGCAGAATCCATTTTTTTTACCTTACCTGTACAGGGGGAATATCTGAGAAGGGGGCTGAAAGTGTGTTGTCTGAAAGAGAAAGGAACAGAGCATAGAGAAAGAAACCAGTTGCATGAATGGCTGGCAGGCACTTGCTGCCAACTGCGTGCTGAACAAAGAGTGTTGTTTTAAATTACTTCCCTGGGTGATGTGCCTCCACTTAGCAGCTGATGACTACAGGAGAGAAAGACCACTGTCCTGCAGCAATGCCTTGTTTGGAGGGGAGGTATCGGAGGAGAACGCAGCTCTGCTCTTCCGGCGTCTTCTCTGGTGAAACCTAGCACAAGCTCTGGCCTGATGGAAAGGCAGACTCGTGACACTGCGGAGCCCTGTCCCGGGCACCTGGACAGTGTTCTGACTGCTGCGCCGGAGCTGGGCGCGCAGGCAGAACAAGCTGCGAACAAATCCTGCGGGGCTGGGAGCGGGGGGTGCAGCAGCAGGTGTGCGGAAACCGTGGCCTCCTTCGGCAGGGCTCGCTGTGTGTTTCACCGCCGCTCGCGTGTTGCCCGGCTGGCGGCGGCAGCCGCGCTCGGCGCTGCGGGGGCGCTCTCCGTGCGCGGTGCGGGTGCGCGGTGTCCGGTGCCGCCCGTCTCGGCCCTGAGCCGCGGCCGTGGCCTGAGCCGCGGAGGGGCGGTGGCCGGGCCGGGGCCGCTCTCCCCGCTTTCCTGCCCCGCGGTGCCCGGGGCCCGCTGCTGTCCCAGGGATCCCCCATGGCTGCGGCCGTGCGCTTGTGCCGCAGGAGCCCCGCGGGCATCTGCAGCTTCTTCACCGCGAAGGGGCGTTTGCTGTGCCCTCCAGGCCCCTTGTTCAGCCCCTTCTTTCCCCCAGCCCTGCTAAGCTTTGCTCTAGCCCCGGCTGCCCGGGTAAGTGTGCTGCCCCTCGCTTTGCAGGGTAAAGGACACGGTAAGCAGATCCTGGTGCTGGGCCTGGATGGGGCTGGGAAGACTAGCATTCTCCACTCCCTGGCAACTAACCACGTCAAGCGCAGCGTGGCTCCCACCGAGGGCTTCAATGCCATCTGCATCAACACCGAGGAGTCTCAGATGGAGTTTCTGGAGAGTGAGTGAACCTGTTTTAGTATTGAACATAAAATAAGTTCCTGTCTTGTGCCGTAGGGATCAGGCACATATATTAAAACCTCAATGTCCCCACATGCCTGCTTCGATAATGTGAAGTTGTGATTATTTTCTCCTTGGGGATTCTGCTTTCCTACTCAGCCTCTTTGAAGGAGAAGACACAAGGGTGTTAGAGATCAGTTTTCATTCAGCCCTGACATCCTGGGAATTCTGCTCCCAGAGAGAGATGGGTAATAAGCCTGATTGGGTGAAACCAGAAGAGGTTTCCCCAGTAAGCCCCGTGTTGTAGCCCATAGCTCTTGTACTGCTTCTCCTTGGTGCTCATGCCTGGCAAAGGGCAAGAGTTACAGATGAATAAATAATAAGTGAAAGAAGAGAGGGAGAAGAGAAAAACTTTGTACCTGTTCTGTTCAAAAGCCTAATAAGTGGTATTTTCTAGTCTTTAAACAGTCTTTTGAATGTTTGTTAAAATATCTGTACTGTCGTTAGCTCTGATTTTTGGGTATTGTCTGTGCCTGCAGAGGCCATCTCCTGTGATGCCTTTGGTGCATCACAGCTGCTTGAGGTGCAGGTAGCTGGTGGGAGAGGTGCTGGCCCTGGGGTCAGGTCACTCCCTGGTACAGAGAGGCTGACATCCAGCCTCATCAGTGCCTGCCTTCTCTGGAGGCAGGAGCTGCTCATTGATTCCTGCTGTTTCTGCACTGTGCTGTACCAGTGCTCAACTGGCTCAGTTGGCAGCTAGCCCATAGATGCCTCTGTACGTTGAGTGGGTCTAAAGGAGTTGTATTGTTCCCACATAAGTTTTTGGGGTGTGGGGATGAGGCTGCTTAGACAAAGTTTCATTCCCAGTCTTATTACCATAGGAGTCTCTGCAGTGGTTTGGGGAAATCATCTTTAGAGAGATGCTTGTAGTCTGTGCCCCTTGCCTGGTGTGTAAGAGGGTGTCTCCTACTGGGATGTGCTTTGCTTGTCTCAGCCCAGAGAAACCCACAGTGTCTCTCCTGCCCGGGGATGGTCTGGGCCCAGCACTGCACACACCACAGCAGAACCTGTTGTTTCTGAGTCGTCCTTCCCTCTCTGGTCCAGGTTGGTAGTGCCTGAGATGTGATGGCTGCGATCTGACCCATGGGAAATGCAATGTCTCAGGCCAGTTTCAGCCAGGTAAATCCATGCATGGCTCTCTAATCTGGTTACTTATCCAGTCTGTACCATTGCCTAGTCCAGGGGTTAGCAGCCTATGCTGTGATTGCACGGCACAAGGTGATCAGCAAACAGCAGGGGTTTTATTTTGCTGGCTTAGACAGGTGGAAAACTGTTCTTTTTCTTTGTACAAGCATACAGATAACTGGATGGTATCTTGTGCTCTGCAGGTGGTAGGAGCTCCTGCCTTCTGCTGAGTTCCTACAAGTTTGCGGGGAAAAAATGTTCTCTGTGAGGTTGCTGACCCCTGGGTTATGCTATGCATGAATACACTTAACAAAGGGAGCAGTGCTGAGCCCCTGCAGTATCACAGTACAGAATCAGGCTTCTGTCCCAAACATTACATGTCAGTCACAGCCCTGTGGCTCCTTTCCATAGTGGCAGACTTGCAGTTCTGCTTCCAAGTACGTTGGGCCACTTGAAGAGGCAGGCATGCTCTAGTGGGAAATGTTACTTCCCTTTCTGTATTCTTGAAACTACTGAACCCTTTCGACTTAAATGAAAGCAAAATTGTTTTGATACAGAACAGTCAAAGAGGGCAATAAAAGATGGCTGTATAGTCAGACAATTTTGAAAAGAGCTCCTGTGATAGGGAACCCCAGATATATTGCTTTGTAAACTTGCTGCTTTTCAGAGACTCGCACATGCCTTTTGAGCACCTCGGTACTCTTTGAGTGAGTGGTCCTGCAATGTGCCTGAAGACAACCTAGAGACCTGAAAACAAATCTGAAATACTTAATATACTGATACTTATTCCTTAATATACTGATACAGAATATTCCTTCTGCTATTAAACTCAGCAAACTACTGAATTCTTTGTCCCCATATGCGAGCAACAATCTCAAACAACTTGTGGCCTATAGTTTCACCAGAGAATTATTTTAAGACCTAGTTTTGAAGGTGAACAGCTTTCCTCTGTATCCAGCAGAGAGGAGCTCATGGAGAAATGGATACTGTGCAAAGATTACTTCAAAGGGTTGCCTGAAGAGTCTGCTGGGACTTGATTGTTGTCTCTTCCTTAAGCACCTTTGGTTATTGACAAAACTGTGGGAGTTTTGAGTCAGGAGTTTTTGAGTTTTGAGCTGGGAGTTTCTTAGTGTCATACAAATACAACGAGAGCCCTCCACACCTCAGACCTAAATTTCTCCTTTGGAAATTGTACACCTGCTTTGTCCTAAAATGAGATGGGCATTTGGAGAGCCTGTATGGGGACATTTGGTGTTTATGGAAACACTGAACTGTTTTCTACTCTCCTTACTTGCTTGAGAGCAAGAACCAACAAAGCAGAAAGCAACTGTAAAGAAACTAAATCCAGAATCCTCTCAAAATAAGAGCTTGAAATGGAAAGATTTTTTTTCCCCCCAGAGCATACACATATGCCTTCATAGGAAAATAAAGCTGGTTTTGGTCTCATGTACAGTAGCTCAAATACTTTGAGGTTTTGGTAATCCAAATACCTTGGGGTTTCAGCCCAGGGCCTGCTGTCTGCACCTCTGGGAGCAGTAGTGCTTGAATTACTTGGTGAATGCTGTGCTGCTGTCTTCTCTTCCAGTCGGGGGCAGTGAATCTCTGCGCTCATACTGGAAGATGTACTTGCCCAAAGTGCTGCTGCTGGTCTATGTCGTGGACTCGGCTGATCATGCCCGACTGCCTATGGCAAAACAGCTGCTTCATCAGCTAATCCAGAACGACTCCACCCTGCCTGTGGTAGTTCTGGCCAACAAGCAGGTAAGAGTTCCCTGCTGCTGCCACAGCTTGGGCTGGCAGCAACTTTGGAAACAGCAACAAAGCCTTCCAAAAGAGGCTTCATGCCTTTAAGGAGGGCACATGGCTGGGAGTCTTTCTGACACACCTGTTGACCACAAAACAAAATAATCTGAGGCTGTTTTGGATCTGCAAGATGCAGGTCCTGTGCTTGGTGAGATGCAATCAGAGCTGTGGGTGGAAGCTGCTGTTCAGTTGCAAGGTTTGGGAGCTTCAGGGAAGACCACAGTTAGATCTGAAGTTAGGTTTCTGTTCTGAGTATCTGCCTAGAAGTACCACTTCAGCTGGGAGCAGCTAAAGAGTGAAGCACTGTTGTTTGCCTTCAGACTGTCTGGTTGGTTGCTCCTAAGGCTGCTTCTGAGATCTGAGAGAAAGAGCAGCTTTCCTCACAAGGCAGTGCTTCCTCCTAAGATCTTTGTGGAAGTCTCAATGATCGGTGCTGTACTTGGAAAAGAATGGGACCTCTGGTACAATCAGATGACAGAAAAGCCCAAGGGTTTTAATCACAGATTCTCCTTTATCAAGGTTGCATGCTCAGTTTGCTCTACATTGTTATCTCCTAAATTTCTAGTAACTGAGGCCCATTACTAGTAGTCATTTATGTTACTTTTGAACACAAGTGCAGGCTTGGCCTTCATCAGACTCATCTGCACCAGAAACAGTGGTGGCTGAGAAGGCAGGCAGGGCATGACTGTTGTATATTTTCCCTATTCTTGTAACTCTTTGCTGGGCACCTGGGGTCTTGGGCCATCAGTGTTTTTGTCTGCCTTGTGCAGGTGGTCTTAGATATCAGAAACAATGGAATTAGTGTAGAAATAGAAACAACTGTACCCATATTTCTTCGGGAAGAAATTAGGTTAGAAATGAACTCTTTTCCCCAAGGCATTTTAGGACACGGGAAGTGACCTCATAAAAGGTACGTAAGAATGGTGCCACCACTTCTTGCAACTAACAGGGTTGTTTTATTTTTGTGTAACAGGACCTCGAAGGTGCATATTGCATCACTGATATTCACGATGCTCTGGCTCTGTCTGATATTGGGGACGAGAGGAAGATGTTCTTGATTGGTACCCATGTGGCAGAAGATGGCTCTGAGATCTCCTCCAGCATGCAGGATGCCAGGGAGCTGATAGGGCAGCTGGTTTTGGAAACACAGTGACAGCTCTTTTCTTACAACACGGTGTTTGCAGCTGAGGGAGAGCAGGTGTTAGTATATGGTCAGTTTGCTGTATGGCAGCTGAAATTAGCAGATATGCTTTCCTGGTGGGTGTGGAATTCCTCTGAAAGTGATATCTAGTTGGTAAGAAAATCTTAATTTATAGTGGTTTGAAAATACATTTGAGAAGTAGTCTATTTTTAGCATATTTGTAGGAGAAAAATAGTCTGTCTCTTAGGCAGCAGATTTAAGGGAAAATATAGCTTAGATGGGCTAGATAACTTCATGTCAGGTGGGAATCAAGCACTGATTTCCATGGAAGAAAGTTGCATCCAGTGAATTTTACATGGCTTGATGTCTCAGGTTAAAGTGAAATATGTTTAC